GGCTCTCTAGTGGCCTCCTGCGGCCGCTGGGGCCGGTCTCCCGCCGGGTCCCTTCATCGCCTCGGTCACCGGGCTCCCCACCCTGGCACCCTCGTGCGCCTTGCGTTTTGCAAACCGGAGTTTCCGTCTTTACTCTCCTGCCTCCTTTACACACACACACACACACACACGCACACGCACACATCCTCCAAACCTCCTGCCTGGGTCCACACCCACCCACCTGCCTAGGGATTCCACCGCTGGACTCTTCCCTTGCCGGTTCGTTTTTGGCTACAAATCTTCAGCTTGCTTTCTGACTTCCCGGTCCCTGATACCCTCCTCTTCCCATAGACTCCTTCCTTCCCCTCCTTACCAGACCTGGCGAGTGCTTTGACTAGGTAGGAAGCCCTCTGCCTGGGCTGGAGTTCTGAGGAAGGGTCCCCCCAGCCCTGCCCGAGTCCTGAGCATCCAGATGGGCCCGAGAGCCAGACCGGATGAAGCCTGGGCCTGGTCTGGCTGTAGGTCAAGCGAAGTTGGCTGCCTTATTGAAAGAACATAGCTTGGGGGCCTTGGGGTTCCTGGCCGCTCGGCGCCTCCCAAGATCAGGCTGATTCTCAGCTGACCTGACGCAGTTGCTGCTTTTGGGTGAGGAAGGGGAATAGATGGGGTGGGGGTTATCTAGCAGCTTTGTCCTGACAGTGACCTGGCTGGGTGGGTGCGATGACTGTTCTCCTGCCCCACTTCAGGAACCCTCTTGACTAGGATAGGAGAGAGCTCGCTTGGTGAGGAAAAGGGACTGTGGACCTCAAATGGGGAGGAGGCGGCTGCAAGAACGGAAAGCCTCCCAGCTGAACGCCTTTCTCACCTTTCCATTAGCCCCTGCCAGACTGTATCCTGCCCTCTGGAGCAGACAGACTGTTGGAAATTCCTGTGAGAGCATGGGAGAGTAGGAGTATGTCCAGCAGGACCAGCCTGAGCTGTATCCCTTGGCTCAGTCATGCTGGCCTTACCTCTGTGAAGGTCAGGTCTACCTCTGGGTCCCAAGAGGAGGCAAGGAGAGATGCTTGTGCAGCAGGATGGGCTGAGGGGGAGGTGCTGGACACGAGAGACTGCTCTGTAGTCCTGTCTTCCCAGTCTTGGAAGTTCTTTGGGGGTGGGGCCTAGAGCCCTTCTGCCTTCCAGGGGTTGTAGAACACAGAGTTGGTACCCCAAAAAATGTTTGTGACTTCCCCCAGAATTCCCCCAGGTGCATTTATTCTCCATCCCCTGGGCACAACCACCAGGAAGCAGTTTGCTTTGTGCCCCAGAGGTTTGCCCTTGTGCATCAGCACTTGGGGAGCTGACTGGGCCTGGGGTGGCTTCCTGGCCTGGCCTAAAGCTCACTCACCTGCAGGAGTTGAAGGGAAGTTATCAGCTTGGTTCCTGACTTAACCATAGGAGAGTCGAGAGGATTCCAGGTGTTCACACCGAGGCACAGAATGACAGGCTAAGACCTCATGGGGGTTTAGGTGGCATGGATGTGGGGCCCTAGAGCCCAGAACTCCATGTCTTTATCCCTTGATGGATTGGTTGGTTGGTTTATTCATTCATTCCATTGACTTTTACTGAGTGCTTGTCCTGGGCCAGGAATGGGGCTGTGAAAACGAGGATGAATACTGATTGTCATTGGAACTGCATTCTAGAAGTAGGAGCAGACCAGAACACACATAACTTCTGATACGGTGTTGGCTAGCACGATAATAGATAGAGAGACCACTGACATAGTCCATAGCTACCGAGGGGTTAAACAAAACCAAACCAAAGTCAGCCCCATCCAGTGGACGCCAACTCGCAGCCACCCTGTAGGACAGGGTAGAACTGCCCTGTGTGTTTCTGAGCCCAACTCTTTATGCAGGGGATAGTCAGGAAGACGGAGAAATAGGAGCATCAGTGATAGGCAGTCTGGGCTGCCTGCAATAAGTGTCCTCTCCCTTGCTGAAGTTGGCTTGGCTTGTCTCTGGTACCTTGACAGCTCTGGGTACTGTACTGCCTAGCTGCCAACACTCCATGTGGGTTAGGATCTGTCTCTGCCTTTGACCCCTGCTCTCCCAACCCAGTGCCTGGAATTGAATAGGTGTGATATGTGTTCAGTGGCCTCAGACTCCACAGTCCCTCCTTGGTCTGCTCAGGGCCCAGTCTGGGAATGCCCCCTCTTTGCCTGGCTGACTCCTGCTTGTCTTCCAGCTGTGTCCCCTCCCAGCTCCTGCCTCCTTTAGAGGCTCCTTCTCTACCCCCGCAGCCCTTGCCTTACCCCTAGTGTAGTCCAGTGGCGCTCCTCTCCCCACCTGTCTGTTCACCTTGTATCCCCAGTTCTGAGCAGAATGCTCGGCCTCTAGTAGAGCCTCACTAAATGCTTCGCCTAGACCCCACTGCGGTTCATCTTTTACCGCTTCCTGCTTCCAGCCCTAGGTCTCGCCAATCTGAACTAGTGTTCATTCTCTGGATGTCCTATTTTCTTCCTTCCAGCCAAGCCTGTGCTGTTCCTTCTGCCTGGAATGCCCTTCTCCAACTCCTACTCTCCCTCAGGAGTCAACTCAGGCAGCACCTCTTCCAGGAAACCTTCCCTGACCCCGCTTGTCTGGAATTGGTGCTTCCGTGTTCCTATGGCTTCTGAGTTCCCTCCAGCAGAGCCGTGGGCATTCAAGATTGTAATTGTTGACTTGGCATCTCCTAAGTAGACCAGGCTCCGAGGAGAGGCAGGCACCTTGCCTGAGTCTGTCCTATCACCAGAGCCCAGCCCAGGACTTGACACCAAGCAGACACTCAGAAAATGCTGGTAGCACTGCAGTGCAATCTGCCGTAGGCACACTCCCCCACCTGACAGTGGCTCTCGCTTCCTCGTAGGGAGGCAGCTTCCATGGAGCGGAGGGAATGCCAGGACCCTGCCCAGACAGACGTGGGCCAGCCTCTGCACCGACAGCCAACGCGCAGATAGCAGAGCCCTCCACCGGGTAAGGACTGAGCCCCTCTCCACCTGGCCAACTGGCCTGGTCAGGTGACGCCCTGACCTAGGGAGCAAAGTGCAGCATCTCTGTCTCTGCGTTCCTTTGTTCTTCTCACCTGAAGCCAGGATGCGCAGGCCAGCCAGGGGTGACACAAGACAGAGCTCTTGTTCTTTTCCCACCTGGTGGCCCGCTAAGCTCACTTCTGGTTGCTGTACTCCCTGAATGCCAGTGTCAAGTTGCCTTGGGAATCTCAGATCTTTGCTCCTTCATCCCAGACCTTATGAAGTTGCGTTGCTAATGTGCTGCCTCGTGAGCCCGTTTCCCAAGGTGCGTTCCACGGAACACCAGTTCCTGGGGCCATGGTGATCCCAGAACCCAGGAAGCAGCAACTCACTGTTCTCCTTGCTGCGGGAGTTTCCAGAACTTTGACTGTGTGGAGGCGAGCACGGGAGCTAGCAGATCACGTTTCCCCCACATTTGCGATCAGATCACACAGACATCTTTGAAGACTCGGCTTCCTTGGCCCGTGCTCTGGGAATGGTTCCAAAGGCAGGAGAGAGCCCAGCCCAGGCTGTGCACCAGCGTCTACAGTCCGCCCGGGGTTTGAGTCCCAGCTGCTTGGTGCTCAGGCGTGCTTGTGGGCAAGTCACTGCGCCTCACTCTTCTCATCTGTATGAAAGCGATAGTTCAAACCCACCAGCCTTCCCGAGGGAGAAAGACGAGGCAACCTGTTCCAATAAAGAATCACAGCCTCGAACACCCTACCAGTGAGTCGGGATAGACACATTGGCCCTGGGTATTAATTGGCATATACTTCCCCTTAGGAAGTTCTGAGGATGAAATGCATTGATGCTCTTAGGGAGGGCGCCCTCGCCTACGGTGTTGTGTGTATAACCAAAGCCAACCAGACCTACTGCCATCAAGTTGGCCCCGACTCATAGTGACCATTGTTGGGGTTTCTGAGACTATAAACCTTCAGGAGCGTGGAGAGCCTCAATATGTAAAACATGTCCACATCAGGGAGCTCATGTGATCGCTCCAGGAAGCTTGGGCAGTGGCCGCTATCTCCTGCTTACAGATGCAGAAACTGAGGCTCCAGATCAGGAAGTAACTTGCCCAATGCCATCAGAAAAGAAAACAGGGTCAGGGACTTGAACCCCAATTCCCAGAATTCTGGCTCAGCTGAGTTGTTCTCTGCTTGAAGCTGCCCCACACCCCCTCCCACCTCAGCCTTCTGGGCCGGGAGGGCTGGGCCTCCCCGCCCAGACTTCCAGAGGAAATTTCATCTTACCTTTGGGGGTAGTTGCCAGCGTAGCCGCTTGTTCATTCCCTGCTTTGGTGACGTATGCATGTTTAATACAATGGAGACAGCGAACATCTCGGCCCGGGAGCCAGTCTCCAGAGTTGATCGTGGTGAACGAGGAGGGTGGGTTCGTCCACATCTGTTGTTGCTACTTGTTTAGTTTTACAAAAACCGGGGTCACACTAGAGCTGCTGTTTTGCCCCCTGCGATTGTTTGATTTAATGGGACTTCGGACGGTTTTCCCAGGCAAGAGGTAGTCCCTGCAGAACACCTGGGGGCCTCCCCGCTGCCCCCCAGCCCTCCACACTGCCCTCTCTCACAGCCTTTGTCCCGGCCTTCACAGCAGCAGAGGAGGTGGAGATGCCTGGTGTGTGATTTTGCCGGCTCGCTTGTTTATTGGGAGAAGATCAGCAAGCTGGGGGGCCCTGCCCTGTAGGAGTTTCCTGTTGGTTTTCAGGAACTCTGCCCCCCGGAGAGGGGAGGCCTGAGCCGGTTGGCCCCTCTTGCCAGGCAGTGAGGAGCAGGAAGCAGCAGGTCCTGCTTGTCTGAGATCAGAATTCCTCCTCGGTGCCAGGCACAGCTTGGAGGAAACCACCGAGGCCTGAGAGGTTTGGCCTCCTGTTGGGATGGACACAGACACACAGCATTAGGTTTGCCGGAGTCGGCTCCTTCCTGGCCCTTCAGGAACAGGCTGGCCCTGACTCAGTTTACCCAGCAGTATCTGGAGGCAACCTTGGCTGTGATCCCCCCTTAGATTGCTCTTTTCAGTTATCTGTCATGAGAGTGGGCAGGCAGGGAGGAAGGGGTTGGCCTGCCATGACCTTGTCCAAAGCTGCCCTCCAGGGGCCTGGAGGTAGGCGGGAAGGAGAGCTCTCGCTCTCGTTGGTGGAGCGGGAGAGTGTTGTGTGGGAAGGCCTTTGCAGCATGTGGGGGGGCAGGGGGGGCTGCTGATGCCAGGCCTCCCCTAGCGGTTCCCTCGGGTCCCCTCTCCCACTCCATCCTCCCCTGCTGGTCATGAAGTCCCATCTATTTCTCGGAACCCCTCTGTGTTTTCAGCTGCTCCTCCCTCCCCACAGAGCCCTCGCACCCGCAGGCTCCTAATGGGGGTCGCCCAGCCTGCGGCAGGAGGAGTCGTGTTCGTTTCCAGATGAGGAGACCAAGGCCCGCAGGGGCCACGTCTCATGCCTGGAGTTGCACAGTGTCTAGGTGCCAGGGCCAGAGCTTGGGTTCAGCGTCTGCCTTCGCAACCTGGGCCCCTTCCACCTCCCCTCCCCTTGCCTGCTGCAGCTGCTGCTCCCGACTCAGGGTGAGGGGCCATGCGTGTCACCTGGGCAGTGGGTTTAAAATGCGGTTTCCCAGAGTCAGCTCTTCGAAGCAGCCCCCAAGCAGCGGTGACACAGGTGGTTTGCAGATCCCCGGGCAAACTACTGTCCAGGAGTGATTCGCTCAGCTCTGGCCCCCACCTCTGACAAACAATCCCAAGGCCTGGGCCCTTGGATCGCATGCCTGTTTTTAGTGAACTCTCTCTGAGTGTGTGTGTGTGTCTCGCTTAGTCTTTCCATCTCCAGGTTGTGTAGAGCTGAGGTTTCCAAAAGAGCTGTTACTCCCTGCCACAACCATTCCCTGCTTCCTGGCTGTCTTTCCCAAAGTGTTTCTGCCCCATCTTCTGTCTCGGAATGAGTTCGTCTGTGTTTAAACATCATCTCTCAAGGGCTCTAAACCTCAAAATTGAAGAGCCTGCTGCAGTATAGCTCATGCCTAGAGCGACATTCCATACTGGAGTAAAATTCCACCTCTTCCGTATGCCACTCGGAGGCCCTGCTGCCAGGCCCCGGCCTCTGAAGAAGACAGGGGTGGGTGGAGTGGGGGGTCATGGCATGGGGGTCGGCCATTGCATCTTCCTCTGGCTCCGTGTAAAAGGGCTCCTGTGGGCAACCCCACTCCAGCCCAGAGTTGGGCAGCACTAGGTGGATCCCCAGGACAAGATCCCCTCAGCCCTTGGCCTCAGCTGGCTGGGCGAGGGTCCCCTGGGACTGGGTGGAGGATGTGCCTGCAGCCGCTCTAGACAACTGTTCCCATTTCGTAACCTGTCTAGAAGGCAGCTGGGGAGCTCAGAGCAGATCAAGACCTGCCTTCAAGGATCCCCCCCACCCCATGTCTTTACCCCCATTGGCCCACACCTGACACCTGCCTCCCAGGCACAAACCTTCCCATCCTTCAAGCTGTACCTGAGAGACCAGAGGCATCCAAACATGACTGGCCAGGGCCCTCTGCAGAAACCTCTTTTTCCTGAACCCCAGAGGAAACGGGAGGGGGCTGGTGGAGGTGGTGGGCTTCGGGCTCTGGCTGCCCAAGTACACCTGAGAGACCTGCTTGCCTTCGAGGCGATAGCACACTAGGTGGATCCTCCCACCATCTCCTAGCCAGGTGGCCTTGGGCAAGTCACCACCTGTAGGCCTCAGCTTCTACACTTTTACAGCCCACCTTCATCCTAACGGCCTCCCTCCCACAGCCCTGCCTGCTACATGGCAGGCATTGTGCCACAGTCTTACCCAGTCCTTCTGACACCCTCCAAGGAGTGAACTCATCTGTTTTACGGATGCAGACCCTGGAGCTTGGGAGGCCAAGTGGCTTTCTCAGCTCCCACTGGAAGCACCTCGAAGGGCTCCCATCCCGGTTAGGCTGGAGGTTGGGAGCTCAGGCAGAAGAGGTACAGGCCCAGCCTTGGGGTTCAGGACCTGGGTTCTCTAATATCAGCCCAGTGGGTGCGGGGAGACCCCGAGCCTTGCCTGCTCTCTCTGTGTGCTTGGCTGGGGGAGCATGCAGAAAGCCCCAGGTGGGCCACCCATCTCCCTCAGCCACCTGGAAGGTAGGGCCTGCCCTTGTCGATTTGCAGGAGGATGAACCTGTTTGGGAGGCCCAGCCCAGATAGGAGAGAGTGCAGAACTGAAACTGCCTGCCCCCCTCTTCCTTCCCCCATAGAGGGTGTGCCAGGGAGTGCCAAGCCAGGCACCACCCCTGACTCACCCCAGCTGGGTATGGGTGTAGGAGCCTACAGGACAGTATCACACTGTGGCCCCCTCTCTGGCCCTGGGAACAGAGGAAGCACGTGGCCCGGGTGCGCTGACCGTGGAGCAGATTCACAGGCCCAACACCCTCCCAGGAGGGGGCCTGTGACCCAGTGTCCTCCTCAGGCTTCTTGGGAAAGGCCCTTCCCCCTGCCTGGGACA